ACACAGATCGGAAATATGCACGGCGATTGCACCCTAAACTTTGGCGCGACAGTGGACTCTCGCATCAGCTCTATTTAGAGCTCAATGAAGATACGTGACAGACCCCAGCATCAAGCACCCATGCTGGTGAGGGTGGACAGAATCAGCAAGAGTCTGAAGCAAAAAACCGGAACCGTCATAGGAGACCGGCGCTCTACCATTGAGCCAATAGACCAATGGAAACGATCTACATGGGACTCGAACCCACAACCTCCGGTTTTCCAAACTCAACCAATGAGCCAACGGACCGATTTAGGCGGGAGCTTCAAATAAGTGGTTTATGGGCGGTAACTGGCTGTCTCCGAAGAATGGCAGCTGTCAGCGGGTCTCACCGACCAGATGTTCGATGCTTGTTTACATCTCCAATGCGGTAGATATAGATGAGTTGACTGTACGCATGTTGCCTACAATTCTGATTACCTATATAAAGACCGATCACTTACAAATGCATGTCCGTCGTCGCTGCTCAACATCACTGCAAGGGGTATTTTAGTGCTCAGCCGCATGCTGAAGATTGATAGATCGATCGTAGCGGAATTCACCCCCCTCATCTCCATCATTCACTCATCACTAGATCATCCATTTGTCTGAACCTCTATTGCAATCGCTCTCGTTTCTCCCCTCTGATAAGGTTGCAGATCAGGTGCTTGTAGTTTCCTAGCTTGGTTCACTCGAGTATTCACTTGGTGCATCAGTGGTTCTTGGTCCCTACCCCTCACTCGCTTGAGACAACATTGTTCTTCTGGCCTCATCTTCCTTTGACACGCGACATTGTTAAGCCGAGAGTATTTTCGTCCAAATAGCACAACATCATTGCTTCCCAGACGCTCATCTAGTGCCCACGATGTACGACTGTGAGACCTGCCCCCGCTACTTTAACAGCTGGCATGCCTGTCGCCAGCACATGAACGACACAGGCCATTGGGGCGTGCGGTACGAATGCGAAACGTGCGATGACCTATTTTTGACTCAATGGGAAGTGGAGGAACATATGGATGACTACGGACACCACGCTCCCAAGATCCCTTGCGAGACATGCGGGAGGAAGTTCTACAACCAAAGGTCAGCAGATCAGCACATGAATGCAATGGACCATTGGGCTCCGACATGGCCATGTGAGACTTGCACACAAATGTTCCATACGGAAGGTGCTGCTGAACAGCATATGCGGGCCAAGTCCCATTACAAGAACTACTGCCACCCCTGTAACCGGCGTTTCGATAATGCGAATAACCTCAAGATGGTAAGACCTTCTATATCTTCCAATATTGTCATTCAACTCAGACTTCGCTTGTAGCATCTGAATTCGAAGATCCACCGTGGTCAAGACGTCCTCTGTCCCTTCTGCAACGCCGCTTTTACTACAGCCACTGGCGCTGCCCACCACCTTGAAACCGGCTCCTGCAAGCGTGCTGTAGGCCTCAATCGCGAGACTATCTACAAATTTGTTCGCAGCCGTGACACCCAGGGCGTCATCACGAGGAAGCTGCTTGAATGGAACGAAGATGACAACATTCAATACAAGGCTAATTCCCGTGCATACAACGGCGATTACTGGGAGTGCTACTTGTGTCATCGGGAATTCAACAGTTTGACCGCACTCAATCAACATCTCAATTCGCCTGTGCACAAGCAGAAGCTGTATCATTGTCCAAACGCGAAGTGTAAAAAACAGTTTATAACCATAGCTGCTCTGTTCAACCACCTTGAGAGTGAATCCTGCGCTTTTATGCGGTTTGAGAAGGTACAGCGGCAGGTTCAGGACGTATTTCGTGGCCAGAGAGCTATTGCCTTCTGAGAACAGCATAACACTATATGCCCTAGCCCCCAAAGCTAGACATGCAATTCGAATTGATGTCTGCTAAAATGGTCTAAAATTCAAGTGTTGGTACTCCAAAGCTGGTTTCAGATGCTGTCATGAGTCAGCTACGCAGGGCGTATGGCATAATCATGCTACAAGACTGCATCATTGAGGCCAGTTTCTGACGTCTATCTAATGTTGTGCATCTAGCCTGGTCTGATTTTCTTTCCTAACCGCTGGCGGCTATTACGATATCATGTCAGAAATTCCCCCGAGCATGTTACCAGCAGAATGACAATAATCTGATCAAATCTTTGTTATTCATCTATGATGTCTTGCTTGCCATTTTGATGTTCTTACCAGTTTAGTATCACAAATTTGAAGAATTTGTCAACTACAACTTAAAATTATTAAATAGGCCCTGTTCTTCCCAATGCAAAAATGCCCACCCATCTTCTCAAGCAATGTAAATACACAAGATAAGTCAGCAGACCGGAAGGTCTAAAACAACCATACAATGAACTGACACTAGTATCACTTTCACTAACAAAGGATAATACAGAAGAATGAATACAGAAACAGTCAGAAATCAGAAACTTCACCATGAAGAACTCATCTATGATATTATAACTTGCCACTCCAGTATAACAGTACTTTGTAACATTAAGGACTTGAACCTCACCATCCTAACCGAATGGCAATGAAAGGGAATAAATGGCCTTGATCACCAACTGGAAGATTCCATCTTCACCTACTTCATTACTTACTCAAGGCGTACCAAATACCTCACTCATTATCCGAAGGGGGCATCCATGATTATCGGTGCCCTGGAATCCTATGCTCAGTATCAAGGAGCTAGTAAACGAGTAAAGAATCGGGAATGTAATCTCCCTTTTTCTGCCATGAATGAACAAACAGACAGATAACAAGCACTAGCCAAGTAGTAGATGTGATTTTACCTGATCATTGGTTGAATGTGACAGATATATACTAAGCAACAGTGAAGTTCAAGTATACTATGTCTTTGATAACAGACTGGATTATCGCTGACTTAGAGGTGAAGAGAACAAGGAATGTAGAATCGACGACTTGTGACTGATGAGAGGCAACTCATCTCGATAGATTGTATGAGAGAACCTTTTCTTGCTCATGTTCCCTTGATGTAGACACACTACACTATAAATAGATGGATGGTTATTGTGTGAGTAGACAGCTGTAAAGGAAAAAAACAAACAAACAAAGAAAGACTCCCTTATGTTTTAATCTGACTTGATGTCGGGGGAAGTATACATATGGCGTGTGCAGACTATGTAGTGGGTATTCAGGGATAATGATGATGATGATGATGTACTTCAAGAATAGCTGTATGATCACTCCTTCCTGTTAGTTTTAAGTCATGCGGGATGGTTTCTGGGATGTAAATTATATGATAGGATCATGTCAATCAAAAAGTATGAAGATGAAATTGGGAGAAGTAGGTAGTTCCTGGTCGAGAGGGTTATTCATTTCCTGTGCCGACTTTAGCTTAAGCTCCATCAGTCAATCTATATATAACAAGGAAGCTGCTTGTTGTTACCATGATAAATAGAATACTAAGGGGATGACAAATCGTATGAGAACATTATTTCATTTTTGAAGCTGACAGTCTAAAAAATCTCCAGTTTGTACCTCTGATCAGGTCCACTACTTTTGATGTGAGGAATTCTCGGTATCTGGGGTCATATTCAAACTACTTAGTATAGAGATGCGATGTTTTAATCATTCTATCTTTGATAATCATTATATCAAAGTGGCTATGTTTCTAGTAGATCAATTATAAGGTGCCAATTTGACCCATCACTATATCTCCATATGACTTTGTCATTTGTTGTTCAAAATCAAGTATCACGAGAAGGGGTATAGACTACTACAATAGCAAAGTCTAATTTAAGACACTATACGGTTAGAGCTAGAGGTATGATGGGAAATACCCTGACAAGATTCAAGTTTACATATACAGTTCTTTGTAAAAAAAAATTGCTCCATGTTATAAGCACGTCAATACTAATGACCAGCATCAACCCATCACTTTCCCCCACTGCCATACAATCCTTAGTTATTTACCATCGGGATTTACTTCGTTTCTCGGGCTTTGCTGGTAAATCAAGTTATTCAATGTTACCACCATCCTTTTCTCCAGCTCGGGGTCACATATAGTTCCAACACATATAGATCAAAACAAGGACACGGTACTTTCAACTCGGCAAAGTACTTTCCACTAGGCAAGCCAAGCACCGCACAGGCTGAATTCTATCTCCAACCAAGCCTTAACAGGCAGGTATTAGGATCAAAAACCACGTAGGTTGTTTCGCCACTGGCGTCCGGCTTGGGGATGTTAGGCGAGGTAGATCTGAAACGCAGGTCGAATTAAACAAGATCATCATTGTGGCTATCTACTTAGTTCTGTTAGATGCAGCAGTCCCGAGATGTCTAACTAGTAGTTTTCTGGTTTAGTTCGCACGGAGAAACATTCCAGCGAATGGTTGTGGTTCGTGATGTGGGATTTTCCTTACTATGGCACTTACTCTGACGGGATAAGTAAGGGAGGAATAGTATATGCTCTGGGCCCATAAGCTGGTGGGTTCGTGCTCATGTGACTCTTTTGTGAAATTTGGATATTGGTTGGGTGTCAAAGTAGGGATTGAGATCAGACCATAGGCGCCACCGTAGATACCCCCATACTGGGGTGGCATCGAGAAGTGGTATAGTACTAGTAGTCGGTGAATTATATTTACTGCTATTAGTGATGGTCGAGGATATACCTACCATATTCGGGTCACACAATACTGTCACCTAGTCCATATGGGCTGGGTGGCTGATAAGTGGATGGCTCTAGCCTCCCCCCTTGCCCGATGAGGACGTTGTACTGTCAGACTAAAGTAGGACACTAGTACTGTGGCAGATACTTCATAGGGGCTGTAGTGGAGGGAGGGGTCTCAGTTGAGGACAGGCTGACGGAAGGATAATGGGACAACAAAAATTCTTCCCTCATGCAGGCTGATGTCATGGCTCGTGAGACACCCCCGGCTAGTGCAGTGCATGCTGTATGATGGATGTATACTGATCACACGCGGGTGAGATTTCATCTGATTTGAGAGAGGGCAGATGATGAACTGTATGCCTGATGTCAAGGATTCAGCTGAAGGGAAAGCAAATTGCTGGTATCTGTGCAAGTGATGCTGTGATGATGGGGTAAAGTATGATTTGTCAGTCTGAAGAATGGCTTTCATGCCTGATACAAAAATCCATGACCATAAATGAAGATGATGACCGAGACGGACGACCGGCCCACTCCGAGAAGGATTCCTTCGAGAAGCAGCGTTGGGTTTTCACACACGGTACATCGAACAAGGGTAGTCGGGAGCATGATAGGCTGTTCAGATTGGAGCCCCAGAAGTTCCTAATTGGAGTGGCAGTGGATCGACCAGCGGGAGGCAGACGGCGAGAATTGCCCGGAACATGGATTGGCGTTGAGAGAACCCGAGACAGGGGAAACTCGAGGCGCTTCTCCGGCATGACTCGCCCTATCGAGCGCGTGGGTGAGTCCGTTCCAGAGAGTATACAGAGGAGCCCCTAGTTAGTACATAGTGTCCCTTTTGCTAAATACCTCCGCGGACAGTCTATTCTGGAGATAAGCACCGACGGGGGGAAGGGGAATTAAAATTAAATTACAATCGTACACAAATGGGGAGTTACACAATGCTGTCCAGTCACCAGTGACTGTGACCCTTGGGGTGAAAAGTAGCAAAATAGGGAAGGAGCGACTTGCGGCCGAAGTGTCTGGAAGGCGGTCCAAGCTTAGTTTGGTTCGCTTGGCAATAACCCCGCCAACGTCAGCGGCGCTTTTGATTGGCAGCAGTTATGCCCCTCCATGATGTCACAGCTCAGATGCCGAGCACTCTGATAGGCTCACCTTTCCCAGCCAGTCCCAAAAAGAACCTTTCCTCGACTGTTCGTTGAATCGCCTCGCCTCGCGAAACCAAAGAATCAGAATCTGCGATGACGATGTGTCTGTAATTAGAATATAGAATATAGATCCATTCCCCAACATGGTGTACTTATATAGAATCATTAGATTGACCACTGCTGTAGCAGTTCTCGCGAATTTTGGCCCGAATTTCTTTTTCCCTTTTTTCGCAAAGGTCAAACGTCGAATGCCCAATGGGCCACCTTCCATTCCTCCTCCGCTGGCACCAATTCCTACAGTACGGATCGGATCTCGAGGGAAAGCTGTTCTGCTCTACGCTCTCACCCTTCTCGTCCTAGCTTATAAACACCCCGCAACGGAAGACGGAAGAAGGATCACAGCGTTAGAAGATTTCCTTGTCGCCTCGCCTTTGGTTCTAGTCACCGATTGTCTATGTTTGGTCTTGCAGGGTGTGTACGTCCGGTACAGCTAATTCGGTTGACCCCTGAAGGGGCCCAGAACCCTCTCTTTTTTTCGGGATGTCGTAGCAGGTGAGTGAACAGGGTCCAGATTCGGCTCCGACGCGACAAATCTGGTGACTGGGTTTACGGTCGATTTGTCAACTGAATTCGCAACGTCCCCGGTGAGATTGGTCGACGGCACCGCTGCATGACTGCCTCCAGGCAGAGAACAATCCTTCAGCGCGATAATACTGTTATGTCTATCCCGTCTCAGTCCACCAAACGCATCCCCCCCTGGTATGCCATTCCAAGGCACGTTGGCATTCTAGATGAATTCTATCGACCATGAAGGACACGGCGAAGGAACGAGGTGCCATCCACGTGCAAGTCGTGATCGCGATGTGATGATGCCTGTTGACCGTTCAGAGACTGAAGGTGGTGCGGTGGTGGGGATCGACGCTCATGGCCGACTGATAAAAATCGGGAGGGCGGACACCCTACGTCAGTTGTGGTCCTATGATCTCAGCGTGCATCATTCAGAGTGGAGGTAGGATTGGCTCCCTTTTGGCCCGAGAATAGGGCGGTCGGTACAAATCCTTTCGCAAGACAAGAGGGGAAGGGAAGTAAGACATCGTGGCAGAACTGGGGTCTGGAATGATTTCTAGAAGAGAAACTCATGACTAGCTGGACAGTCAACAAGCACAGGCATTGCAATGTTCACCACATCTGGATGAAGGGAAGATGGCATTGTGCATGGGTTGGTGTTTGCCCGTTTTCTTTTTTAACCCTTTTTCCCTCCTCTGGTCTCGCCTTCCCCACATGGGACGGGCCAATCAGCGGCCCTCACTTATGTGGGATGTTTGACCTGGATATTTTGAGGCTTTTTCTCCCGGCAAATTCTTGTCTCGAGACGTGGGATCGCGTTCGGCTCGGATCTAGGAGAAGTAGACATACCTTAAGGATGGTGAAACCGTGAAAGGGGAAAAAAGAGGGAGAATCCTTTCCCTTCAAGGTGACAAAGATCAATGTACACCACGCGGTTCAAGTAGGTAGGGAACAATTCTGTCGAAAAAGGGATTAACCATCCAAGACGCGCGAGAAGATGACGCCAGAGGATCTCGTCATCGGGTTGCTTAAAACGCTGCCAGAGTCCCGCTCTCCTTTTTTTTCACCTCCCCTCTGGAAATTTCTCTGTTCGCGCGTTTTTCTGCTCGTCGGTTGATCATCGTGGTTTACGCTGCAATATTGATTTTCTTCCCCACCACCACGACGGTTTGTAAGCTTTCCGAGACCACTCATTGTTTGTCTTGGTCTGTGGCTCCCTTTATTGTCTTTTCCCGTTCATTACTTTGGTGCCTTCTGTATGACTGCTGCAGCCCACCGTGCCGGTGTCCAATGAATTGACCGCTCTGGATGAACATCGGGCCTGTCAGTTGAGGAAGAAGGCGCTGAAGGCTGAAGCATCGTTGTTCCCCCCCTCGGTTTGTCCCATCAAGGGCTGGCCCACCGTATTATTCATTCCCGCAATAACGCCTAAAATCCTAATCATAATTCTAGCCTGACGGTAACTGAGCGAAAAGAGGTCACATCATCATCCTTCACCTTTAGAAGGTTACTTACTGGTACATGGGATTCTCCAAGGGTATTGGTGGGACACAACTTACTTTTGACTCCTGATAATACAGTCTGATCAGGTCTGTACCTTACCTCTAGTCCGGGTCTTGTTGTGATTCTTTTTGTTTCTTCCCTCCCCATCGGTTATTCCCCTTCTCCTCCCTCCTCTCCCTATCTGCTGCTGCTCTTGTGCCAGTTCTGTTCTGTGTTCTATCGGCTGCCAGCCCAGCCCACTTGCACCCCTCCTCTTTTTCGTTCCCCTCCACTTTCTGGTTCCTTTTGACGGCGCGCGCCTAACCAGAAAAAAATTAAGTGCAGCAAGAAAAAAAAAAAAATTGAAAAAAGAAAATAATAATAATAAAGAAAGAATTTTTCTGAAATAAATAAATTCGATAAGAAAAAAATAGAAAAAGAGAGAAAAAAAGAGCCAAAAGGGAAAGGAGAGAAAGAGGTTCACACACACAGAGTGCAACCAACCATCAGCATCGTCATTTCCTTTTACCTCATTCCTTCCTCTCTTTTCCCTCCTCTCCTCCTCTCCTCTCCTCCCCTCTCCTCTTATTCCCTCCCACTTTCAAGCTTCGCTTTTCCCCTTCTCTTCTTCTTCTGCCTTCTCTTCTTTAATCTTATCCACTTGTCCTAATCGGGAACATTCATCTTTCCCACTCTGCCTCATCTTAACTCGCCTTATCGTCGGGTTCCCGTTAATCTAAGTTTAATCTGACCATTGCCACCTCCGCGGTTGCTGCCATACTCTTTTTTGATTCATATACCCAAAGGCATAACCTCAGCTTCTAAAACTGCGGTGGACGGAACTGGTTCCAGGTGGGCAAAACCCCCCTTCTGCTGCTCTGCTTAGCGCCTTTCCCAGCCCATCATTGCTCGGCTGCTCATCCTCTTCCTCCCCCTCGGACAATCACTGCCCCTCCCCCTCGTCCCTCCTGATCCAGACAGCTGTTCCCTTTGCTCGTCCCAAGGTGGATCCATCCCATCTGGTGTGTGATGGCGGATTGATATCTGTGCTTCCCTTCTACCCGCTACCTCTCTTTCCACAATTACTTCCTTCTTCTTCTTCTCCCCTCCCCTCCCAGCCTCATTCATTCCCACTGATACTTCCCCTCCCCTCCCCCATTTCCTGGTGGCAGGTACATCCTTGTTCAAACATTCCCTCAGCCTCACATAGCTAGATTACCTTGTGTGTTGCTCTCTTGAACTCTCTCTCTCTCTTCTTTCTTCATTCCCCTCATCGACCCCTCCTGGTTTTTATTTTATTATCTTTCTTACTCACGAGGCAATCATACCAAAAGACGAACTGTTGGCCTCCCCAGTTCTGTGTTCTGTGTGTGTCTGCGTGTTCATTCCCCTCCCTTCGTTGTATATCTCCTGGTTTCATTCTTTGTCCCTGGGCTGGCTTGCCTGACCCTCGTAATACCCCTATTGCGTAGGGCAACATCACGATCGATTCGAGCAGCTGTAACGTCGCCGTTCGGTTCGTGTTCCACCGCTGACATGGGATTAGCCTGCAGATTCTTTCCGTGTAATTCTCAGTATTTCCGTGTTTGCTGCTTGCCAGCTTGGGCCCGGAGAACAGCCGGCTAGATTGACCCACAGAGTCCGAACACGCAGCTTGTCAAAAGACCATTGACTCCTGGTGGTCTCGAGACGTTTGCTCTACGTCGAACGACATTGAATCTTGACTCAACACACGAGAACCAGTCTCGTATCATCACATCATCATGGCGCCCACCACTACTACAAAGACCGTGGAGGAGCCTGTAGGTGTCGCGAAGCCGCACACTGAAGCCCGGGTTGATGCTGACCTCCCCAAGCCCAAGGAGACTAAGGAAATTCCCTCCACATTGGCGGAGATGAGAGGGAGTATCGATGAGAGCACATTCGAGCAGATTCTGGAGATGGATGACGACCCCAGCGACAGAGATTTTAGCAAGGGTATCGTGTTTGGCTTCTTCGATCAGGCTGAGAACACATTTGAGAAGATGGAGGATGCTCTGTAAGTGTTTGCATCGCTTGCGTTGTGGTCAATCGCGCTAATCTAGCCTATAGGAAGGCGGAAAATTTGAACGACCTGTCTTCTCTGGGACATTACCTGAAAGGTTCATCAGCCACTCTCGGACTCACCAAGGTCAAGGATGCATGCGAGAAGATTCAACATTACGGAGCCGGCAAGGACGAGACCGGTTCCACGGATGAGCCGGACAAGAAGACCTCCCTTTCGCGCATTGAAAAGACCCTGACCCAGGTGAAAGAGGATTACAAGGAAGTCGAGGCCTTCCTGCGCAAGTACTTTGGCGAAGACGAGGAATCCGCTTAAACTTTAGGACGAACAGAAACAGAAGGACAGGGTAGAGCCAGGCGAGGATTCTGTGTCAGTTAACTGAATATACGCGCGAGAGCGAGGCCACACGCTCCGCCCGAGATCAATGAAATCGAGATCACCAAGTGACAGCATCCATCACCACACAGCTATTCCTAAGACTGCGGAAACACGCAGGAAGACAGCGTCGATCTTACCGCGGGAAAAGATGATTTATTTCTATATTTGCCCCTTGTCTTGGGCCCGGGCTTTATTTTTCCTAGAAATGTATGAACCATGAACTAAAAAGGAATATGAAGAACCAGAACAAAAGAAGAAAAACAAAACAAAAAAGGTAGATGATATGATACTGGTCGTCCTGCCTTGGTTAGCCTAGGTGCAAGACGACCCTTGGAGGGTGGATGTCGCATGCACATTGCCTTGTGGCATGATCGGGTAGTCGTTGCTAGCCAGGGGGCTGGGAGTGCTTGGACGACCATCGAACTTGAGCAAATACCCCTGGTAGCTTCAGCTCAGGAACAACAGATGAAAGGGAGTAGGTGGTGGCATCGATCACCTCATCCGACCTCCCTAGAACATAGATATCAGTAGGTGGTAGTTGAGTCGACTTTATCGGGTCCGGTAGCAAGTTCGTGGGCTACCAGACGGGAGTTCTGCCGTGGATGTCGGACATACTTGAGTATGTACAACCGTTGCCTCACATGCACCTTTACACAAGGACCAGGCTGAGCAACGTTCGGGAGATGAGCTGGAGGTGCGTGTTGTATCCTTGGGATTGTCCCAGCGTCGACCTCCGCTCCGGATCACGGCGGCACCCGGATGTCTGCAAACAACGAATCTTCTTCCCTTGAGGAAGGACTCGATGGAGTTGACAAACGATCAACCGGATCGTTTTTATATTTCTCTTCCGCTGGGGGCGAGAGACGAAGTGACGGGTTGTCATTTCGGTCGAAGACAGGACCCTTTTAAACCAGACCGGGGCGTTTGTCCGTCCGTTAGCGGGGGCGTCTGCCAGGGTTGGTAGGGTTAGCCACCACCACCACCACCACCTCCTCCTCCAGAAGCTACTGTAGCTACTAGCTAGCTGCCTAGTTCATGGCTCGGAAAAGCCAACACAGACACGACTTGATTCTGGCGGGATGGGACAGGGTCCGTGGCACGACAGATGGTTGGGGGTGATGATGGTGATCATGGGGTTGTGTTGATAGCCCCTACCGTCTGCCATCATGAGAAGGAAAAGGAATCGGAGCATACAGAGGGACTGTTCCATCCAGTTTCTTTCCCTCGACACCCGTACGGTGGGTGCCGGTGTGCTACCGTCCATCCATACCAATTTCCAAAGCTGGACGAGAAAAGTGCAGGTTACATTGACAGCCTGTCCTGTCTGCCTACCTGCATTCTGTGCGTGTGTCTGTTCGATTCTATATCAGATATCATGACTCAGAGGATACACCCACTAACTACTCACGAGACTGCGGTCAGACAAACTACGTCTTCTTCCCGTCAGTCGGTCAGTCGTGGATGATCCGAGAGAGCATGACATATAGAGTACCGTCCCAACCAACGGATAGCTACATGCTACCTATTCACTAGCTGAGTAGGACGACGGGTATCTTTCTTGCCCCTGGCAGTGCAGCGGTGGTATCTGATGATTATAGCAGTGCGATAAGTGGGTCATATGGGAGTGATTCTTAGTCTCACAAATTGATTCCGTGACTAGCAGACAACGGCTGTGCTGCAGATGGCTAAGCTATGTAGTATACACGACAATAACACTAGACTTAGCAATCCTTCTTAAGAGAGTAGAGTATATCATTTAATTCCCTCATTTCATAATGTCTATTGATTGATCATACATGTGCTGATCCGACGGGACAGAAACATGTTCTCCTGAGTACAATCAACCATCAATCAACAATCACCCAAGCAAGCAGCAAGCAGCAAGCACTGTCCCCTCGGAAATCCGTGTGACTGCAGACGAAACCGGAATTATATCCCTGTTGATACATATACCCTTACAGTCTATCCTTTCCTTATATTTGAGGGGACTTAGTACCTAGTGGCGTGAGATATCACTACATATATCAATCACATCACCTACACCAACCATCATTTACACCCTTTCAATCCTACCACCATATACCTCCACCCTCACCACCCACCCCCAGAATCTCCCAAAAGAAAGAAAAGAGAAAGAAATAAAGGGATAATGTCCGTCTCCCCCCGCGCCAGCAAAGAAGAATTCATGGCTGCATTAGGCCTCTCCACACACGACCCCCAACACGAGCAATACTACCGCGCCATGAGAGTATACCTCCCTCCCATACCTTCCCCAATCCCTCCTTTACCTCACCCCCATACTAACCAAAATGGAAAATATGTCCAGGACGAAGCAATCTCCACCTACAACCACCTGAACGAATCCCCCAGCAACCTCCTAGAGAACTACAAAGCCCTCAAACCGCCATACTTCTGGCACCACATCCGACCCGAGCGCCAGCGATGGGGCATAAATGAGATAGCGAGGAACGCGAGCCCCCTTACCAGACCGTTGTTTGCCCGTGGGATGACCACCGGCGAGTATGGGCCGAATTGGGTGGCGGGTTGGTTGCTGTATAGTGTTTTTAGGAGTAGGGATGTGAGGAATAATCGGAATAGGAGGAGGGGATATGGGAATGGGGTTGGGGTTGGTGGTGGTGGTGTTGGGGGTGGGGAGGATGGTATGTATTCTTTTTCTCTATTCTTTTTACTTTGGTTTGGGGTTGGGAATTTGGGGTGAGGGGTGTATGTGAGTTATATGTACACTGGCTAACTAACTATGCTGTATGTATGTATAGGTCGGGCGAGTTCTCCTCAGATGGGAGTGAGACATGATGGTGGTGCTTCTGCTTCTGTTTCTGTGTCTGCTGGTGGTAGTGCTGATGGTGCTGCCAGCAGTGGAAAGAAGGAGTATTATGATCCTGTTCGAAATGGTTGAGTTGAGTGCAATGCAACGGGCATGAACATGGGCAGTGTGTATAGATCAGTCTCCATCCTCTTCATCATCACCTCCTTTTCCTCTCTTCCCATTCTTCTGCGTTCTCTCCTGCTTCAACGCCTCCGTCACCCTCTCATCCCTCTCATCCTTCATCTCATCCCACTCGACATCATACTCCGCCGCAATATTCTTAATCTCCTTGCGCAACGTATTCCCCTCATCAATCAATGACTCCCACAACTGCAAATCAATCCCCTTATCCTGATACAGCTTCTTCTGCCGCGCATTGATCGTAAAATCCAACGCCGACCGGTACGATATCTCCCGATTATGGTACAAGAACCACAGATATCCCCCCATCAGCGTCGACAAACTCACCAGATACGTCACCGGCTCCATCGTATCCCATCCCAGATCCGTCTCAAACGTCAACCTGTACACCAAGTACCACCACATCGCCAGAATCCCCAGCCCTCCCATCGCGACCCGCTGCGCACCCCGGTGCGCCAGCGCATCACACTCGTGCTTGATCTCCGCGATGCCCTGGATCCGTCCGGAGATCTTCCGCAGTCGCATCCGCAGGAAATACGTCCGCTCGTCGAACGATGGCACCGCAACATGGATCTGATGCACCCCTGCCGGTGCGCCTTCCACGGAGACGATGAATTCCCGCGCCCGTGCTGCGTCCCGGATGAAATCGCCGATCTCGGTGGATTGGGACCAGCGTACGAAGCGCTGCTCCCTCTTGCCACCTCCACGCTCTGATCCCTCTCCCTTCTTGCTGGGCTCCGTTCGGCGTAGGTACGTGTACGTGTCGTCTTCGGTGGGGGCTCGCTTGCCTTCGCCGTCGTCGATGCGGCCCATCTCGTCGAGCTGGTGGACTTCTGCGCCGGTGCCTTCGTAGACGGCTTTTCGGGGCCGGATGGGGTGGTCTTCTATTTGGAGGGCGATGAAGGAGACGGTTGGGGGGCGAGTCTGGCCGTCTTCAGTTGTTATGGCTGGGACTTCGGATTGGATTAATCGTTCTAGGTGGGAGAGTGGTTGTTGGGGGTGGACGAGAATGGCGATTGGTTCGATATCTGGGTTGTCAGTATTCCAATACACCACATCACATCAAGTCAATCTAAAATACACACCTTTATGTTCTCCTTGAATCCCAGTTGATAGCGGAATTAGTAACTTGAATAACCTCGATGGCGTGGTTAATAGCTTTCCTATAAGCAACCCCATTAGCATCCCTATCATTTAGCCCCAAGATAGAGATAGAGATATACCCTTCGTCATCGCCTCCTCCAACTTCCCCCCTCCTTCCCTCTGCTCCTCCTGCACACCCCCCGTGCGATCCCGTAGTCTCAATCTCTCCAATTGCTCTTTGGTCCGGGTGTTCCTCATTCCACTGCCGCCAGGGATTCCCGCGCGGAACCACCTGCGGTCCAGTGGCGTGTAGACTGCACCACAGCCAGCACGTAGCATATACGTGCTAGTGCCATTATGCCCCCCTCTTGTGGTCGCAGCGCCTAGTATAGCAGGGGAAGCACTGCAGGCGTGCCACTGTGTACTAGGCGCAAGTGGAAGCGCAAGCCCGACTCGATGAACTCGACCCAGAATTGACCGCATTGCGGTCACGTCATCGGCTATTGGGAGTGGAAGGTCATATATGCTCTTTATCCTGTAGTAGACGATGTATATATATCGAGATGAGGAGATGCCGAGGACTGTACTGGGATCAGGGGTAAATATGGCACTGTTGTAAAATCGGTAGGCTTAAATTAAGATTAATCTAGAATGTAATTGTCAAAGGGGTATAATAAGAGTTAAAGGTGGAAAAGTTGCCTTGGAAGATAGACTTCATAACGTAGTCAGTTAATTGGGTGATGTACGTCATGATGAGTCAGCTGTGATGGTTGCTGTTGTGGAGACGCGTGTCATGTCTATTGTTCGGTTGAGGGAGGCGGAGCAGAGGTTAATTTGGGATGTTAAGGAGATTATGATGTTGTTGATGATGGTGGCTGGCGTCATTGGGGTGGCTGCTGTTGTTGTTCCTGAGGTCAGGGTCAGGAGGGTTGGTGGTGGTGTTTGATTCATGTTGAGGTGGTGGGTGGTCTAGACCGCTACTATGTACCTTAGCAGCAGCAGTACTTAGTAGTAGGTGTGGTCGGTGATTTCGCCTGCATAATGTATACAAGTTATCAATTGAGCGCTCATATATCAAATCACCACCCAAGATAGTGATCGCTGGCCACCCATGCAATCAACCAAATATAACCAACTAAACTATCTGGAATCAATCTCTGTGTTCCCGTAAGACCAATTCCATCATCCATATCCATATCCATACCATCACCGCTAAAAGCGACATCCAACAATTTCCATGAACAAAGAAAAGCATTTCGATCTATCTGGTATTCAAGTCATGTCGTAAATCGTAGCATCATCATGTATCCCAGTATCCCCTCTGCTTCCATCCCCTCATCCCCCGAAGGAAATCATCTGCTCCAGCTCCTGCTACTGTCCAAAGGCAAGCGCCCTCGTCGGTCCAACACCCCTTCGATCCAATCTCCCTTCACAGCTCTCCGGACTGCTCCCACCACTTCTGCTCTCGCCACTAGTCGACATGTCCGTCTCATCTCCATAGCGTCCCTTTCTTCCCGTGCCAATGGCGACCGGAATTCCCTGAATAGGCCCTCCCCTGTGTTCATGCCCAGCAGGATACATGCCGTCGTTGACAGAGAAGTTGCGACAAATCAGGTACGCCCGCATCGCTGCATGCTCCTCAGCCAGAGTCTTCGATTCACAAACGTTCTCCGTCTGGTATTCCCGGTTGTTGACTCGGACGATGCAGGTGTAGCCGCCCCCAACAGCATAGGATTCGTAGGCGGGATCTGCCCAGTGCCGGCGTCGGCAGAGGCCTGTACATTATGTGTTAGTAACCTGCTGTTGAAGGATAGATGACGATCAGATCGTGTGTTAACGCTCGGTCGCTCCGAAGGACGCAAATTCCCCGAGCGATCGACAAATCACAGAGAGTGTAGATAAGAAATCGCATCGCCTTGAGTCAGGAACAACCACCACCACCACCACCGCCGTCGGCTCGATTCCGGCCATTGTTGCTTTTCCACAACATGCATGCATGCATGGTGTCTGACATCAATTGTGGGAAAAACAGCACGAGCATGGCCACTTGGAGGCGTTGGTCTGACCCAATGGCATAATCAAGAGGAAGGGGGAAGAGGGAGGTCGGACGAATGGCAAACGAAATCATCTACATACTTGCGAGGTAGAGAATATAGTACATCGTGAAGACCAGTAAACGGCCAATGGAAGGTATAGCCCTGGACGGTATCGGCCCAGTATTCGTTGCCCCAGCTCAGATCGAGACTGCACCAGATCCTGGGCAGTCACACCAAAAAGGTACCGGCACGAGTCTATGTTGACAGCGATGGTTGGTGCCCAATGATCACTCAGTCACTCAATCGCTGCCTCTCATATGACGGGCAATGGTTGCTGCTATTTTTGTGTGGTTCCTTTTTTTACAATAGCCAAAGAGCCCTGTTCACCACAAGCGGGCCGAGACGGTCGACGACGCCTAGTATAGATCAATGCAAACAAAGGGTACGAAGGACCGTGAGGGAAGGAACTAGCGGCCGAGGGGAGTCAAGCAGCATGCCTTACACTGGCGGAGGGCAGGAGAAAAAAAAAAGAAAAGAGAGGCGAAGAATATCATGCTGGCTCAGGTATAGTCCGCTCAAATAAACAGGGTGGGGCTGGTCATTGATAATTATTCCAGTCAAAGGGGAGGAAAAGGGTAGAGAGAGACAGCGACAAGAGAGACACCGTAGGGGAGAAAATAATTACCAAAAAGCAAAAAGAAAAATTAAAAATAAAAATCATCATTTCAATCAAAAGAACGGCTCTCCACCGGCTCATTCAACCTTCTCCACAGATTGGCCGAGGAGAAAGGCAATAGACGAATACCCTCCTCCCAAAAACGGTTCTAAACCTCACTAGCTTTGTCCGTCTTGTCGCCTTTCTGCTTGGAGAAAGGAACATGGCAAGCGCGGTCCAAACCCTGATGCGCTGGCATAGCTTTTCACCAGTGGTCCCGCGCAAAAAAGATCCAGGACGTCCTGGCCCATCGGCCACCGTGTAATTCGCCGCCGATCCAGGCGGCTAACATATTGACATGTTGTTCAGGATAAGAGCTTTCCGGGCAAATCGGTCGATTCGGTCTACCATTCTTGCTGCAGAACGTGGGCCGGTTGTTCTGGGCATGCTTAGAAGGCTCCAGTCTGTAGTCAGCGCGGTCCTTTTGTGAATTTTATTTTCTTCCATTTTCCTTGCGCGTCCCCTTCCCCTCCCGATCCTTCGGTCTGAAATGGATCCATAAACCCCGCAGAGTGTAGAGAGAACAACGACTGTCGCCCTGTCAAGCAAGTCGCAACGAACGTAATGGAAGCACGGGAGAAAGACTCAAGGAAGGAGGCGTCGTGGAATCCCGCTAATGCACATTGATGATACATAACAAGGGGTTGATGTCGCGCAGATGAATCCTGGCATGGAACCACCAGAGAGAATTGGTTGCTGGCGGACTTCTTTGTACCATGGGCCGATCGTCCCTACTGGAGGGGAAGCAGAAAACCACCAATGATGGAGGATATCCCCGTTGGACTCGACCGTAACTTATTTTTCCTCCCCTCTGGTCGGGTCAATGCTGAGACGATCATGACCCTCGACGACTCGGTAAGCCATCCGAATCCGCTTCCCTTAGTTTTAGCAGACCGCTTCCTCGGGTGCCTCCTGAGTAATCCTCATGTTAAATGAACTGAATCCTTCCAGAGGGCCAAAGACCCAAATGTAGAAAATACCCCCCCCAAAAAAACAAAGGTCCCTAGAGGCCGGCCTCTTGCTATCAGACCTCAATTCACAAATCATCCTGGAATGTATCGGCTGCCGCGTGAAAAATCCGGATAGGCTCCAGACTGGCTGGAGTGGATCAAGCTTAGATTGGTCGAGGCGTTGGATGTTGTTGACAAGCAGGCATCGCGGATGCAATGATGAGTTGGCAATTTCGCTTCGTGCGGCGGGGAATCCATGCCACTTCGACACGAAGTGAGCAAAGGATGAGGAGAATGGAGGAGGGTTAGTTAACCTTGCAGAGTAACCTGAGAGGCTTTTCCTCCCTCTTATTCAGCACCACCCCGGGGAATTTGGCCTTTTGGCTCCAATTTGACACCCGTTGGGCCACTGCCTTTTCTTCCCTCATTTGGCTGATTGACGGGTTGCAGCATATTTGCTCAGTGTGTCTGTGCATGGTGTGTAAGTCCGTCCTTTTGCCTGGTGGCCCTCGCGTCGCGATGGTGACATGTATCGCTTGGATGTTTGTGGAAGCGAGGGCGGGTCATGGTTTCTTTCCCCTCTATTTCTTAGCCGCCTTGTTCTTTTCTTACTTATCGTGGTGTTCATTCTTGGAGGCGCCAGGGATGGGGTCAATTGTGGGAGAACGTTCAGTCAAAATTGTTCCTAGTCTGAGCATTGCCAGGACCGTTTCAGCGGGCGTTTCTAGTTTCAGAAAGTCTACTGGAGAAGACACCAAGTGGCCGAACTCTGAGCAGCTGATGTCGCACCAAACAGTTTGACCCCGGATCTCGTCGCAAGGCAGACGGAATCAGTAGTTTGATCATCCATGGTAGCTGCTTCTGGCTATCTCATCTGTATGACTGCCATTCCCTGGATGCTCTGATTCCTGGCTGGAACCTACTTCCCCTCAGTGCGGAGGCCAGCCAAACTATCTTACATGCGTGTCACAAGCTTATGGACAATTGATTCTTACATGCGTCGTACTGTACAAAATATACTTTTCATTGATATAGTTCCCCTGCTCGATATCGGCACCCGTCCCATCACCACTCGGGCTTGATTGGACGTTGCTCGCACCATACCCGCAGGTTCTCTGCGGCCGCATGGGGTACCACGAAGATCGGGTGGAAGGCCTTCAACCGGTCCTTCTCATCGAATACATTCTGGTCGGAGGATGTGTCATCCGAAACAGGGATGGGAGTGCATTTCCAGGAATACGCCGAACCAAAGCCTTCATCAGAGCTGATGCTGGAAGTGGTATGGTAATGATGATACTGGGCCGAGCTCAAGCCCGTCAGCGCGTAGCAGGTGTGGTACGAATCCGGATGCCTAGTAGTTATCGTTAGCCTGGCCACACTGTGGAAGGGATCGGAAGAGGAAGGGAGTTGCGTACTTTCCAGGCTTATCACGGAGCCCCCCGTACTTGGACTGGCAACAACCAAGGATATATCTGGTTAACCCTTCACGGCTGTAGAGATTGGCAGGGACCCGCTCCGGACCTGTAGCTGACTGGACCCCATTGAGGGCAGACTGAACTAATGGCCAGCAGGTGCCGACCCAATGGCTGTAGCAGCCATCCACCAGTTTATTGGTTCTCCCCGAGAACCCTCCTTCGGGGGCGTACTGTCGAGCAGAAAGCCAGCTCAGGAGTAAAGGAACATCCATGCACCTGACGTTATCAGCGGAAGCGGGGAGAACATGAGAATGCAGCCTCTTACCTCGACACCACCACTTCTGGTGGGCCCATGAGGCACAGACATGCCAAAGCACAGAAAGTATAGGCGCCATGTGCCTCAGAACCGGGGCTTCCGGAAATGCCGCCTTCGTATGTTTGACCTGCAGCCAGATCAGTCTAGCCCGGAAGATTAGGGATGTGGAAGCTCTTACACCTCGACAGATACTCCGAGAGGCCACTGGTAAACGTCTCCAGACCGTGCTGCCGAGCTTCGGCATCAGGGGGTAGTTCCAGTGGCAAATTCAGTAGCGAATGGACCACCATGGCGCAATAGGCGCCTCTGACAAAATTTAGCAAAAAGCAAAAGGGGTATGCGAAGCAAGCAACGGGAGAAAATACCGCACGTCTTCTTCCCCGCCCGCGCAGACCCTAAAGCCGCCGTCAGGCTGCTTCAAACTTCCTAGCCATCTCCACCTGGTCTAGGTCAGCATGCATTGATGCTCAAGTCAGGTACCGCAACTACTCACATCGCCTCTCGATCGATCAGGTTGAATGCCTCTTCGCCTCCGACCATGGCTAAAGCGAGCACTGCGGCATAGCTAGAGGCGCAGTGGGACAGTTGCCCGTGGCCTCCGCCCATGCCCCCTGTAGGATTTTGCATTGGCGTAAACGTGGAAACGACACTAAAGAGAGGACTTAGACAATGGTCGTAGACAGAAAGACAGCAATTGAGAGCCAGAATCACAGCAGTCATGATCAATCTGCAGTTGCCAAGCGCACAGCTCAGTGATTGCTTACCGTTCACGGTATTTGGTGACATCTTCCCCCAGGAGGCTTAATCCAGCCAGCACCCAGTAGACCATCCAAGGCCGGCTTGCATCCATGCCAGCGAAGCCCTCTGGATAGTCCTCCAAAGAATCGTATAAGTAGATAAGGTGGTCATTTTGATTCAGAGCTGGCACTCCAAATCGGTTGAAAGGACCTGCCTGGCTGTTGTGAATGCCTTTCAAGAAGGGCAAACATTTGTTGACAGTCTCATTTTGGACCTCAGAGGACTCGGTGCACAGGGCATCTAGGAGCGAAGGCAGCTCTTGAAACAAAGCCGGAACTCCGGGATGTGCTTGGGGTTCATACATGCCGCCGCCGCTGCTGTTGCTGCGCTGATCTAGCGAGGTGTGCTTTTTGGATGTAGGCGCCGAGGGCTGACGGCGACCTATTGACGAACTAGCAGATTTGGTGTCTCTACCCTGAGCGTCTGTTGGTCTGGATGTTTGGTTGGATGAGAAACGAACTTTGCGACGCGGCTTCCCTGCGGCAGCGATAACGATCGGCATGGAACTTCCTGGAGTTCGAATATATGAATTCGGGGACTACTGTTTATTGGCGCGATCGAGAATGATCGAGATGAGCCTGGGTCCGATTGTTCTCCTCTTCATGAATGGAGATGACAGCTGCCATGGCCGCCCGCAGAATCCATTGTTCTCTTCTCCCCGCCGCAGTTGCAAGTCAGGTGGGCCCCTCGTCGACTCCTCAGGCCAGAAGGCCCCAGTTGAGTTGGGCGAACAAACCAAGTGCGCAAGATAGATAGTAGAACCTCGGTTCCGCAAAGATAAGGCTGCCATGGGAAGACTGTATAGTTGGCTGATGGGGAGTCGTTTCTTTATCCTCAGTTCCCCCCAACATCTGTCAGAATCTTACATGGTGGTGTCAACCCCATACTATGTGGTATGTTGGTAATTGGTATTTACCAGCACGTTCCCGAGGCACCACCATCTGCTGCTTCTCTGTTTTTCCTTTTTCTTCGTGACGGATGGATCCCGTGACCCCCTTTGTTCCTTTTTTCGCAGGCAGCCAGCCCATCGCCGATGAGGAATGGATCGCCGCCTTCACTCTCCCACTCGGGCTAGCGGGCATTCCGGTCGGCGGCCGGAAGTCTTAATCCTAGTAGACTAAGATGCAGCTCCTTCAGACTCCATGACTCGACCGACCATGAGGGGTCAAAGGGTCTCAGGAGAGCTTCTCCTCTCCCTCCAACCTCTTCCCCCCTATCCTGTCTCTTTGTGTAGACGTTGAATCGTCCGGAAGGAAGCTCCAGTGGTTTCCCGACCCTTCCAACCCTGTCCTAGCCGACTCAAGCGACGGGATTGAGCGCGCGCATCAAACCAGGCAGGATTTAAAGTTATTGACGCTGGATTTTAGTAGTCTACAAAAAGTCTACTACCTAGACTACGTTGTCTTTGACTAAAGATTTCGGGCACTGACCATCAACACTACTGCAGATCCGCTTCCCGTGTGTGTCTCCTCTGTGACCTCACAAACATCACGACCGTGCTAATAATAAGATTTTCATGGCTGCTGCGACTTAAGCGCCAACGTCGTCAACCGGCGTATCCGTCTGGACATTGTTGGCTCTGGAGGCATTAAAGCGACGCGCTGGACATAGTCTAGTATGTATGGCTTGCGGCCGCTGGCGTGGCGAGCTGCGAGTCAGAAGTCCGTGGTGCTGATATGTTTCATAGCCGGCGAATCGAGTTGTCGAGCCCCATCGGAGTGGAGTTCACGGGCTTGGATTTCATATGCAGAACGTTTCCTTACGCCTGGCTGGCTCGTTGCCTGCTTTAGGGAGGTGTGTCTGTTTCCTTTTTCCCCTTCGAGGGAGCTTCCGCGGCCAAGACCGTTTTGGTTTCTTTTTTACCTTTCTTTGCACGGCCCCGTGGAGGAGGTGACCACCCCAATGGTGCTGACATAGCCCTGCGCTTGCATGTTTGTTGAGAACCAATTTTGGATCTGTCACGTTTCTCCTCTCCATTTTACGAGCCGAGTTGGCGGTTATGGGAAATGTCTTTGTCGACCCTTGCTAAAATTATCTAAACGGGTGGGGTCACGGAAGTCACAAGGAAAAAAGTGGGAAGGCCAAGTAAGAGAGGTTAGCAGGAAAAGGACCCTGTAACCACGGAGGAAGAGACATCCGCAGCATGTACATGCCAACGCGCCGCGGGATTGCATATGCCTATCTTCATGATGATGACTTACCCAGAAGGGTAGGACGAAGGGGAGTCGTGAAGTTGCCTCGACCCTTATCGACTCTCTTCATCAACTCATCATTTCATCATCGTCAGGAGAGAGATGCAGATAAGGAGGGATGATGTGCTCTTGGGGGATTCCTAGGAGGGGAATCGTACAGTAGTCGTACCTAGTTGGCCTCGAGGGGCAAGGCCTGTGGCATGCTCATGAACCTTGGAGCTACTGCACCGTCAGCCACCTTGTTGGCACGAAATCAACATGTGTGCGCCAGTGATTGCCCACTGATTGGGAGGATGGGCGTTATTGGGCCGAGATGATTATCACCTACCGTGAACTCGCAGGCCATCCCGGTCGAGGGACTGGGGGTGGAAGGGGACGAATGGCAGCCGGGCCAGAGGCTGCTAGATGTATGTAGGTAAGCCCGGACGTACATCAACAATAGTCCTCCTGTCCACCCTCGTTGAACCTGAAGTTTGCCTGTCACTGGCGAAGACTCACGCACAATACAGTTTATGTCTTGAGTTTGGTGGTACGGAGGCGTTGAGTCAGCGAGGGTCCTTTTCCGAGCAGTCGCTCAATAGTAACTCAAAGAGAGATGGGTTTAGTTTAACACTAACGGCCCTCGGGGCAAAGCGACGAAGCAGGAAAAAGAAATATTGCCACGGCCGACCTTCGATCGGAGACATTTGCCAATAATCGTGGCGCCTTAGTCAATAATGCTCCATCGAATCCAGTCTCAACCGATCTTTGACGGTTTCCACTGATCTCCCTTTCCCGAATGTGATCCCGTGTCTCGACAACGGAAAATTCCGTCCGGTACCGCGGTAGCCCAAAAGCAAGCAGGCTTTTTGTTGATGATTCCATTCCCAGGGCTAAGTAGCACTACAGCTCAAGGTGCTACTCTGCTACTACTACGCTACTATATCACTAGTTGACTGACAACAAATCATCTGCCTGATGACCTTTCCTTTTTGGAAGGGGGGAAGTATTCATTCTGAGCGAGAGGTACTACTGACGTAGGGCAGTGCTACGCTGGAAGGCAGTTGGGAGAGTCACTGGTACATAGCCGGTACGTGGCTCGGACGTGGGACGCCAACGAGAGTAGGCTAATCCGATGCATGGGTGTATGGGGCTAGTACTGCCGTCGCGCGTATCCCATGGTCAGCAGCTACTAACAGTAACTAACCCACTTGGCCTAGTCTAGTCTTTTATTTTTTTTTTTTTCTTCCCTTTTGCTCTCTTTTACTCGGTTGGTAGGCTTCCAATTTGCCCAAGATCGAGAAAGGGCTGATAATCATGAGACTTGTCAATTGAACAGTTAGCAGTACGTAGTGGTTCGATCCTAGGGCCATATTGGGTTAACCGGTCTCTAGCATATTGTGAGATGTAGGGTCCTACGGATTGAACTCAGATAGGACTAGTGTGAAGACCATGTTGGCTCTTTTTTCTTTCTTTCTGTTTTGTTTCTTTGGAGTGGCACTATTCTGTCTGCCTTCTTTTTTGTTGTTTCTTTTTTTTTTT